AAAACGAAGTTGTCAATGACTGCATTCTGCTTGGGTCAACAGGCAGTGTCCATGGAGACAGTGGTCAAGAAATCCAACGGCATATCACACTGAACAACTCTACTGCAAAAGACCTCTAGAGTTCCAAAAAGCTAAGACGTCGCTCTGAGGACGAAGGGGCACCTGACCCGAGCCATGGTCTTTTCCATCGCCTCGTACGTACGCAAAAGCTGGACAATGAAAAAGAAGAGTGAAAAACTGATTCATTTTTCAAACTGTGCTGTTGGCAAAGAGTACTGAGCATGCTGTGGACTGCCAGAAGAACGAACAAATCTGTCTCAGAAGAAATACAGCCGGAATGCTCCTCGGAAGCGAGGACGGTGAGACTTTGCCTCACTTACTCTGGACGTATCACAGAACCAACCTAACCCACTGCCGTCGAGTTGATTCTGACTCACAGACAACCCTATAGGACAGAGTAGAACTGCCCCACAGAGCTTCCAAAGAGCGCCTGGTGGGTTCAAACCATCAACCTTTTGGTTAGCAGCCGTAGCTCTTGACCACTGCGCCACAGACATATCATAGGAATGACCAATCACTAGAAAAGGACATCACGTTTGAAGTAGAGGGTCAGCGAAAATGAGGGGAACCCCCCGTGAGATGGAGTGCCCCAAGAGCCACAATGGACTCAAACACGCCAATGATCACGCAGATGACGCAGGACCAGGCAGCGTGTCATTCTGTCGTACGTAAGGTCACCACGAGGTGGAGCCAAGTTGACCGCAACTAACCACAATGGCTGCCGTGATTTCTGCTACTTTGATCCAAAAGTGACCCTGCCCCACAGTCCGCCATTAGCCTGAAATCATGACGTCTGGCTGGAAAATGAGTATAAACCCAGGACTCACCTGCTTTGTTACGTCCTGTATCATCCGAGGGAGAAAATATTCGTCCACTTGCCTGGAAAGGAGAACAGCGCCAGTGTGAGAAAAGAGCGGAGAAGGACATCTAAACGTAACAAAAGTCAAGGGGGGAGCTTCAAGTTGAGGAACTGGCAGAGAAACCACCACGTGTTCACACAGTGCCATAAATTATCAGCTTAAAAGTACGACGATCGATTTGACGAAACTCCTGTGCCATCGACATGTGACATGATAGCTGTTGGTGGTCTCGTCATCTGTCTCAGGTTCCCCGCTCTTTGATGCAAAGCCTTTCTGGGAGGTGCGTCATGAGTACATTATGTGAAAACAGGTCACGCTTGCCCACAGGGAAACCCAAGTAGGATTCCTGATCCAAGCTGTTGTTACTGTTGTCGTCAGGTGCCGTGAACCGGCTCCGACTCACGGCGACCTTGTGTAGAACAGACGGAACGTTTGCCAGACTCGCGCCGTCGTCATGATCACCAGAGCGTCCGACTCCATTGTTGTGGTCATTACACCAATCCACCTCGTGGAGGGTCTCCCCCGTTCTCACAGATCCTCTGCTTTACCAACCATGAGGTCCTTTTCTAGCAATGGGTCCTTCCTGATGACGCGTCCAAAGTGAGCCAAAGTGTCGCCAAAATACAAATACACACGGCGCTGTCCGGAGACATTTTTGTCACAGCTTGGGTGGGGGTTGCTACGGGGATCCAGTGAGTGAAAGCCAAGGAAGCTGCTAAACATCCTACAACACACAGGGTGGTCCCCCATAATGAGAAACTACCCAGCCCCAAACATCACCAGTGCTGAGGCTGAGAAACACTGCTGTGTAGGGTCATTCAAAATACAAGTGATACTTCACTTCAAATGATGGTTTACCGCTAGTTGATGATCGAGAGACTGTGTTTTGTGGTGTGGTGGTGCTAAAAGACATAGAACAAAACATCTGCCATTTCAACACTTTTTATACGTACGGTCTGGTGGCATTAATGACTTCCATCACGCTATGCAACCATCACCACTATCCGTTTCCAGCTCCTTCCATCTCCCCAAAACAGCAGCTCCGTGCCCCCTGAGCAATGATCCTCCTCTCCCCTCCCTCCTGCCCCGGTGACCACCAATAGCCTTGGTCTGTATGTATGCGTCCATTCTAGATATTCCATGTAAGTGGGGCCATACAACATTTGCCCTTTTGTGACTGACTGCGTTCACTCAGCATCATGTCCAAGGTCCATCCGTGTCGTAGACAGCATCAGGACTTCATTTCTCTTTATGGCTGAGTAATACTCCACCGTGTGGATGGGCCAGATTGTGTTTATCTATCATCTGTTGATCGACATGGGTTGCTTCCACCCATTTCAATATTTTCTCTTCCTTCTCTTTTTTAACTTCCCATTCTCCCCTCGCCCCAGCCCCTGGTAACCACCAGTAAACTCTGCTTATCTATACACTTGCCTATTCTGGATATTTCCTGTGAGTGGGATTGTACAGTGTTTGTCCTTTTGTGACTGACTTACTTCATTCAGCATCATATTTTCAAGGGGGTAACTCAAAAGTCGTACATGATTTGTGATAGGTCTGGTCTAATTTAATGAGCAGCATAAAAACATCAGAACGCTCCTTAGAAGCGAGGATGGCGAGACTTTATCTCACATACTTTGGATGTGTTTTCAGGGGGGACCAGTCCCTGGAGAAGAACATCATGCTTGGTAAAGTTCAGAGGGTCAGCAAAAAAGAGGAAGACCTTCAACAAGATGGATTGACACAGTGGCTGAGACAATGGGCTCAGGCATAACAACGATTTTGAGGACGTCCACGAGACCAGGCAGTGTTTTGTTCTGGTAAACACAGGGTCCCTATGAGCTGGCTCTGACCCAACGGCACCTAACAACAAGAAGCATAAAAACAGCCAGATCTAGATGGCAGGTACCTCAGGGGGCAGGCACCTTGCCCTGAGTTCTCGTGCTTCCCGCCTGGATCTGAAACCTGCTGCATGCAGGGAAGATGCTGAACCAGCATCCCAGGAGTGACCACACAGCACGCTCCAGCACGCAGAGCCCGACTCACCGGCTCCTGGACCAAGGGCTGAACCAGCGCAGCTCCCGGTAGTTGCCTTCGTTCGCCAGGGCCATCTTGGGCCGGATGAGCAGGATCCTCCTGCAGGCAGGGACAAGGTGGCTCACCACGTGCTCACGGGACGAGCACGTCGTTAACAAGGAGCGAGTGAGCGGGCAGGTCAGGCGGCCACCACTCTGCAGGGTCACGTGGTGGACACAGAGCCAGCTCGAAAGCGGGGCTCCGAGCAAATCACTGACTCCCCTTGGGTGTTATGTATTCTGCTCCCCCAAAATATGTGTCATAAATCCTAACCCCTATACCTGTGGATGTGATCCCATTTGGGAATAGGGTTCTCTGTTACATTAATGAGGCCTTATCAGTGTAGAGTGTGTCTTAAGCCAATGACTTTTGAGATATAACAGGAGATGAGGCACAGAAGGAAGGAAGCACAGGCAGGGGAAGACAGATACCATGTGAAGATCACCAAGGAACGAGGAAGAGAAGCTGAAAGAGACAAGGACCTTCCCCCAGGGCGGACAGAGAAAGCCCTCTCCTAGAGCCGGTGCTCTGAATTCGGACTTCTAGCCTCCTGAACTCTGAGAAAGTCAGTTTTTGTTCCTTAAAGCCAGCCACTAGTGGGGTTTCTGTTAGGGCAGCGCTGGGAGACTGGGACACGGGGCTTCAGCTTCCTGTCTACAGCACGACACCCTTCCTGCCTGCGCTCCCCAGGGCTCCATTCCCTGACAGCCGAGGATGACAGACCCGCTGGCCGCTGTGGCCCAGGGTCTCCATGGGGAACGCTACAAGCCCTCCCTCACCCAGACTGAGTTCCAGGCAACAAGGACACGTGTCCCCAAACCCACCCCTCTGGGTGTCTGTCTAACAGGTGAAGGTGTCCACGTCAGAGAGACAGGGATGGAGAGAATCCCTGCCGTCCGAATCGTCTGACGGATCGCCTGTCACTGTTGCTGTTGGTGCTGTCGCATCGATTCCGACTCATAGTGACCCCATACGACAGAGCAGAACTGCACCGTAGGATTTTCTACACTGTAATCTTTATGGACAGGAGCCCTAGTGACACAGTGGTTAAGCGCTCGACTGTTAACCGTAAAGTTGGTGGTTCAAGCCCACCAGCCACTCCAAGGGAGAATGAAGTGGCCGTCTCCTTCCATAAAGATTACAGCCTTGGAAACACGATGGGGCAGTTCTGCTCTGTCACATGGGGTCGCTATGAGTCAGAATCAACTCAACGGCAACGGTTTTAATCTTTACGGAAGGAGATCGTCAGGTCTTTCTCTCACAGAGCCACTGGGGGGGTTCGAACTGCGGACCTTTTGACTAGCAGCCCAGTACTTAACCACTGTGCCACCAGGACAGGGCTTTCACTAAAAGCTGGTACTGCCTTAGTGAGCAGTCATCTAAGATGCATCAATTGGTCCCAACCCACCTGGAGTAAAGGAGAATGAAGAACACCAAAGTCAAGAGGAAAGTATTAGCCCAAGAGACAGAAAGGGCCACATAAACCAGAGACCATCAGCCTGAGACCAGAAGAACTAGATGGTGCCCGGCTACCACCAATGACCGCCCTGACAGGGAACACAACAGAGAGTCCCGGATGGAGGAGAAAAGAGGGGTGCAGAACTCAAATTCTGGTAAAAAGACCAGACTTAACAGTCTGAGCCTGGAGGATCCCCAGAAAGCATGACACCCGGACTCTCTGTCAACCCAGAACTGAAACCATCCCCAAGGCCAACTCTTCCCACAAAAATTAGACTGGACTATGGAACATAAAATGATACTTGTGAAGACTACGCTTCTTAGCTCAAGTAGATACATGAAACTAAATGTGTAGCTCCCATCTGGAGGCGAGATGAGAAGGCAGAGAGAGTCAGGAGCAGGTTGAATGGACACGGGAAATCGGGTGGAAAGGAGGAATGTGCTGTCACACTACAGGGAGGGCAATTACGGTCACATAACAACGTATAAATTTTTGTATGAGAGACTAACTTGAATTGTAAAGTTTCACTTAAACTACAACAATTTAAAAAGAAGAAAAAAAAACTTGATATTCCCAGAAAAACCCACTGACTCGTGGTCTCCAGAGACCACCATTAGCAGGGAGCAGCACAAGTCCCCACAGCCCCCCAGGCGAGACCCGGACGTCCGGCAGGTGACGCCCCCGCTCTCCCCGGCAGGGCGGCCTACCTGTTGAGGAAGATCACCCTGCAGTTGTAGCGGACATTCCGGTGCATCACGGGCCTGCACGAGAAGGCGGAAGAACAGCAGTCGGCCTCAGCCGTGAGAAGGCACGGCCAGCAGACGCGAATCCCACGGCCCCCGAAACCACGCGCGCTGCTCCTGTACGAAGCCGCCCCGGATGCTTTAAGAAAAACCACGAGGCGCTTAGGTCACTTTCTCAAATCACATGTGAGGATAAGCACACTGCGGGGCTCAGGATAGGAAACAAGCTCGAAAGACACGGAAAGACGTGGAGGAACCTTCAGTGCACATCGCTAAGGGACAGAAGCCAGGCTGAAAAAGCTCCACAGCGTAGGATCCCAAGGACACACGTTCTGGAAAAGGCACAGCCATAGAGACAGTGATCAGTGACTGCCAGGGGCCCGCGGGAGGGGGACGAACAGGGGGAGCACAGGGCGTGGTGGGGGCAGTGACACTATTCTGCGGGATGCTCTAACAGTGGACACACAACGTGACGCGGTTGTCAAAACCCGTACAACACAAGGACGGAGCCCTAACGTAAGTTACGGCCTCTGGTTAACAATAACGTATCAGTACTGGTTCGTCAATCGTAACAAACGCACCACCGGGATGCAAGAAGTTATGGGAACTCCCTGCACCTTCTCTACAATTCTTCTGTAAACCAAGACTGCTCTAAAAAAATCAACTGTATTTAAAAAAAGCAACGAGAAAATGACAAAGAAAAAAATACACACGCAAGGTAAATGCTAAGGAAAAGAAAGTAAAATGGCCGCGTTCATATCACGTGAAACAGGATATAAGGAGAGCTAAAGAGAATAGAGTAAACCCATGCACAGGGGACGCCATGCTGATGTGGGCCTGTCCATACGGGGTGACGTGAGACCATCTCCAAAGCTTACCATCCAGTCAGAAAAGCTATGTGACAGGTGAACACTTGTTCGTATCTGCACAGGGGCCCTCTAGAAGAACATACACAGCCTGCTTCCAGGAGCTGCTTCTGTGTGGGGGAGTTAGGAGACTGGGGGCTGGTGCGGGGAGCGGAAACAAAACCTACATTTCAACCTAAGACCTTTGTAACCAGTGGCCGTCGGTCAAGTCGACTCTGACTCACGGAGGCCCCACGTGGGTCAGAGCGGAACTGTGCTCCACGGGGTTTGCAACGGCTGCTTTTTCAGAAGTAGAGCACGAGGTCTTTCTCCTGAGGTGTCTCTGGGGGGCTCGAACTTCCAACCTTTTGGTTATCAGAGGAGAACTTTCGCTGTTTGCGCCACCCAGGGACATGGCCTTTGTAGCTTTTGAAATGTGCAAATTTCATAGCCCGGACTTCAGGGTGGTGCTGGATGCAGCAAGTCCTGGAGCCCCAGCCGCAGACGTCCCTTCGTGCTGAACCCCTCATGTCGGCACTTACATGCCCACGTCACAGATGATATCCTGAGTGACTGGAGATTCCAAAAGGGCTGCCAGGACTTGAAGCGAATGCAACAGTGTGTCTGACTCGTAATAGTGATCCCAGCATCCATAGCCACTGCAGGGACAGAGAGCCACAGGTGAGTCACGGGTGAGCCACAGCCCCAGGCAGGCAGCAGTTGTAGGGTGGGGCCAGGCCTCCCCGGCAAGCCCTCTGTGCAGCCAGAGTTAGGACCCCCGCTACAGAAAAAGGTACGGTTTACAGGACATTGACATGTACAGGCACATCTCTTTCTTAGCCTTAACTTACTATGAAAAATTCTCTCTCACATCAAGAAGTACTGCCCTTGGATTTTTTTTTTTAAATCTTTAATACGGCCCAAATCACGCTGACCTACAAGAAGACCCGATAGAAACACAGCTGAAGCCACAGGAGATCACCCTTCAGACAAGGACTGAGCAAACATTCAACCATGACCCACATGGCCTCCCCCGAGTTCCCTGCCGTAGAGGCTTGGAGTGGGTTGAACGGTGGCCCCGGAAAGGATGTATCCACGTCTTAGCTCCCCAAACCCCTGAATAACGTGACTTCACTTGGAAAAGGATGTCTGCAGATTGAGCAAGCGAAAGGGTCGGATGAAGTCACCCTGGACTGGCGAGGTGGGCCCTAACCCCAGTCACGAGCGTCCTTCTGAGAGACAGGAGACACACAGAAGCGGGGGCAAGAGACGGGAGGACACAGCCACCAGCCGAGGAAAGCCTGGGGCCACCAAGAGCCGGAAGGGGCCAGGAAGGGCCTTCCCCCCTAAGTCTTCAGATGGAGCACAGCCCTGAAGACACCTTGATCCGCACTTCTGGCCTCCAGAACCGTGAGAGGATAAACTTGTGTGATTTTGAGTCCCCCCCCCCAGTTTGTGGTACGTTGTTACAACGGCCCAGGAAGTCCATGCGATGCTCAGTGATGTTGTAAAATGTAAGAACTGGGTTGAGGGCCAGCTCTTAGGACCGGGGTTTGGAAAATAAAATACAGAGCATTTAGAACTTTCCGACCTTCAAAACGTTTGCCCTTCTACCATGCAGCAGTCTGGAGAGCGCATTTCCAACGCTGAGCCAGCTCTGCACACACAGACCTAAACCGCAAACCTGGCGCTGGCCACTTTCAACGCCAGGAAAAGCATTCCTCTGGGCCTCTGGCTCTGGTAAGCGGGAAACCCCTGGTTCTCGCAGACGAAAACAAGATGGCTCCGTGAGGGGTCAAGGCCTGGGATGTCCATCCTGCCCCAGGGGGCCGTCACTCCCGTGGGGCACCCATCAACGCTGCAATGCCTGGTGTCCTGTTGCCCAACACCCAGCCACCAGCACTCGCCAGCTCGTCTGCCCGTAAGCGGAAGAGCAAGTCATAACGTGGGCTGATGGATCAACAGTCCCCAGGGGCCCTCGAGTGCCAGCCTGCCTACACAAAATCTACATACAAAACTGACTCAAAGGCAACTGACTCCAAGGATCACTCAGCAATTCCCGTGAGGACGTAGAGATGCATGAGGAGGCCCACCCGGGGGCACCGGCCCTCAGACCTCCTTCCAGGTGCCCCTGACCGGCAGGGACAAAAAGAGGCTGCGCTCAGTGGGCACCTCAGCTCCCGTCCAGGCCTCAGCCTTCTCTCTGTAGACCGCTGGGAGCGTTGAATGAGGTCCCGTACTGCACGCCACCAATGGTCTGGAGCCCAGCTCAGCGGGGACCTTACCCCTCTTGATCCAAGTATACCAGCCTAGGACCCTTCAGTTTAAAAATCTTCCTTTTGTAAGATGGCAGGTCCAGACCCAGGGCTGTGAACCAAACTGTTAGAAGGTGAAAGAACAGGACGGAGAAAGACAGCAGCTAACCAGTTGCCATGGAGTCGATTCTGACTCCTGGTCACCCCATGTGTGTCAGTGGGCTCCACAGGGTTTTCAAAGGCTGATTATTTAGAAGCAGATCACCAGGCCTTTCTTCCAAGGTGCCTCTGGGTGGACTTGAACCACAAACCTGACAGTTAGAACTGAGTGTGCTCACCGTTTGCATCACCCAGAGATTCCACAGATACGTAGATATGTAGACTATACGTACATAAATACATACACACACAAAAAAAAAGCAGTTGCCTTCAAGGCAACTCTGACTCATGGTGACCCCATGTGTGCCTAAGTAGAGCTACGCCCCACTGGGTTTTCAATGGCTGATGTTTTGGAAGTAGATCACCAGGCTTTTCTTCCGAGGGGCTTGTGGGTGTTCTTGAAACTCCAATCTTTCGGTTAGTAGCCAAGCACGTGAACTGTTTGTACCACCCAGGGACCAGAGAAAGACAGCAGGATCTAATAGGGTAGCAATCAGGCCAGGAGGCCTGGCTTGCCGTTCTGCCCCTCCAGGGGCAAGAAAAAGGACACAAGGCTCGAGCTGAGAGCTCAGGAGTAGACGCCACTCAGAAGCTACCCAATCCTGGCCAACCCAGGATCGCTGGCCCCGAGGAGAGGTAACTCCTGAAAGAACACACTAAATGAGTGTGTTGAGGTTCTCAGATATTAGGGAGGAAACAACTGTATTTGAAGTGTCTAAGGAGAGAAATCAACCTGAGGGAGAAAATGGACTTAGAAGGGCAGAAAGATGCCTCCAGGACGAGCACGAAAAGCCTGAGAGCAGACAGTTTCTGCTTCAGCGAAGTCCGGAAACAAGAACCCACCAAGACAGGGAACAGGACCGAGGACAGACTTCTGGGCCCACAGCTGATGGGAGCAACAAAGACGAACGGGAAACTCGCAAAGTGCAGAAGTCAGCTGACACCCAAAATAAGAAAGGAACTGTAGCTTGTTAAGAGGCTTACAATGTGCCAACTAATTTTTTTTTTTTAAACTAAGAGACAAGAAGAGAATCAAGGAATCAGCTTCCCCAACTAGTGCAAAGTGGCAAATTGGAAATGATCCCTTATGCTTCTTTACGGGAAGGTTCTGAGACCTTTTTACGGCTAAATATGAGCCTGGTAACCGAGAAGGGCAGAGGTAGAATGGATGCCGCCTGGCTCTGAAGTCAGCTCCGACCTGGTGAAATGTGGCTCCCCTACCTCCTGGACATTGGAATCAGGGATTCTGCAGCCCTCCTGAGCCTCCTCTTGCTCATGTGCTCCTGGGGGTTGTTGCTGCTATGGTTGGCTGCCGACTTCACAGTAACCCCACACACAACCAGGCTCAAGCACAGGTCGCTGATAGGCTCTTCAATGAACCTGGCACATCCAGCTCTCAATCCTGCCCCAGTGCCTTTCCAGCAGACACAGACCCTGCCACCTGCCCACCCCAGGCTGTGCGCTCAGCTAACCCCAGGTATCTGCGGCGTCTGCTCTCACCATATTTCCAGTTCTGGTCCGAGCCTGTACCTTGCTCCTTTGTTTTTGGCAACTTCAATACCTACATGAACAGAGGGAGAAAAAGGCATAATTTCAGCACCTACAACGTATTCAAAGGCAGATACAACACCCTGCTGTGGTGTGTTGTTCTTGTTAGCTGCTGTTGAGTCGATTCCAACTCATGACAACCCCATGTGTGCAGAGTAGAACTGCTCCACAGGGTGTTCAAGGCTGAGATCTTTTGGAAGGAGATTTCCAGGCCTTTCCTCCAAGGCACCTCTAAGTGGATTTGAACCACTTTTTTTTTTAAATTTTATTGTGTTTTAGGTGAAAGTTTACAGCACAAGTTAGTTTCTCATTAAAAAATTTATACACAAATTGTTTTGTGACATTGGTTGCAGTCACCGCATTGTCTCAGCACTCTCCCCCTTTCCCTTTCCACCCTGGGTTCCCCGCGTCCATTTGTCCAGGTTTCCTGTCCCTTCCTGCCTTCTCGTCTTTGCTTCTGGGCAGGGGTTGCCCATTTGTTCTCATTTACTTGACTGAACTAAAAAGCACGTTCCTCACATGTGTTATTATTTGTTTTACACGCCTGTCTAATCTTTGGCTGAAAGGTGGACTTCAGGAGTGGCTTCAGGTCTGAGTTAGCAGGGTTCTGGGGGTCAGTCTCGGGGGTTCCTCCAGTCTCTGTCAACCAGTAAGTCTGATCTTTCTTTCTGAATTTGAATTTTGTTCTACATTTTTCTCTCGCTCTGACTGGGACCCTCTATTGTGATCCCTGTCAGAGCAGTTGGTGGTGGTAGCTGGGCTCCATCTAGTTCCTCTGGGCTCAGGCTGGTGGAGGCTGTGGTTCATGTGGTCCATTAGTCCTCTGGACTAATATTTTCCTTGCGTCTTTGGTTTTCTTCATTCGCCTTTGCTCCAAACGTGATGGGACCAATAGATGTATCTCAGATGGCCACTCACAGCTTTTAAGTCCCTAGATGCCACTCACCAAAGTAGGGGGCAGAACATTTTCTTTATGAACTATGTTATACCAATAGACCTAGATATGCCCCGAGACCACGGTCCCCAGCCCTCAGCCCCAGGAACTCGGTCCCTCAACCGAACTTTCAGTTAGCAGTTGAGCACTTAACCATTTGCATCACCCAGGGACTCCTTCTGCAGCAATCATAATAAAAAATAATGACAATAATAATAATAAATGAAATTTAAAAAGCCCCGCGAGCTCCCTGACCCCATGCAACCAGCCCGGCAGCAAAGGACAGCACCACCCAGACCAGCTCACACCTGACCAAGATGAGAAACAGGGTCAGGCCTCCAGGCTGACCCTTAGCACCAAGGAGGAGGAGTCGGGGGTGGGACACACTCCGGTGGTTTATTAACAGGCAGACGCCGAACACCTGCAGCAGAAAGTGCGGAACCCGAAGGGGCTGACTGGACCCCCAAGGCTTCCAGCCCAGCAGTGGGACCCTGCAAGCACTACCACTTGGCGGATGTGGGCGGCAGCTTTTCTAGGGCGGAGATCAGGCTACCTGAAAATCAGCTCTGGCCACCCGAGACGCCTCCCTTCACCCAGCCAGACTTGCTGTGGCTCTGACGACAGGAAAGCAGGTTAATTTAAAAAAAAGAAAAGATGAAGATTCCAGGGACACCGCGCGGATGAGACGCTGTTGCTCAAATTCCGTTGTAACTGCTCTTGGCAAACCCTCTGGGAGTAAGTATTTCCGTACAAGACAACCTGGGTGGCCCACACCTGCAGGTGAGCAGGGCGGCTAAGATACGAAGCGTGCAACCTTTCACTCTCAAAGTGAGCCTGTCATCCCACAGAGCCCGCAGAGTTTTTAAGCTCGCTGGCTCACCCCCGTACTGTCTTCCATCTTTGAGCCGATGTCTCCCAGTGCCTACCCACCAGAAAGGTCCTCGCGGGCCACAGACTACTCACTGCAGGCCTCTTCTGCAAACACCCCCGGCCAGCGGTTGGCTGCCCCTCCGCTTACACACCCCCGAGGATGGGCAGCTCAGCACCAGGTGAGCCACACGGGGCCGCAGAGATGCTGGAGGCCAGGTGCGTGCCCCGCCCCTCCCAGCTGTCTCCCCTGCCCCCCCCCTCCCCCGCTTCTCTCACTCTCAAGCCTCACAAACCACGTGTCCCACCAGAGGCGTGACCATTACCCACTATCTTATCTGTTGTTGTGGCGAGTGCATCCAGGGCAAGGAGCGTGCAGGTTGCGGGCAAGGGGGGCCGCAGAGTGGACGTCTGCCCCGCCAGCGCAGCCCCCAGACTCACTCTTTAAAATCCTTTGCAAATTGCCCTCGAAGTCCAGGGCCCACTGGTTGAGCGCGCAGGTGGCTACGGTCACCTTCCGGCCCATGCTGGCTTCAGCGACACCGGCAGACGGCCGGCAGGAAGACAGGTCAGTCTGTCAGTCCTCCAACCCTCGAGGCCACTTCCGCCGGGCTGTGCGGCCGCCCCACCCACTCCCGGCAAGCACACCGAGCCCCGTGCACGCCCCGCCCCGTGCACGCCCCGCCCCGTGCACGCCCCGCCCCGTGCACGCCCCGCCCCGTGCACGCCCCGCGGAGCCACAGTGTCCGGCCCCACCCCCTCCACGCCCTCCCGGCCGGCCCGCCGAGCAGCGACAGGCCCCGCCCCCTCAACGCCCTCTGCCCCTGCTGGCAGGCCCGCGGGACTACATAGCCTCAGGCCCTACCTCGTCCACGCCCCGCGAAGCCACAGCGTCAGAGCCCTCTATGTCCCGTCGTTCCTGGCAGACCCGCGGATCTGTGCTTCCGGCCCCGCCCCGTCAACGCCCTCCGCCCCTCCCGGCATGCTCTCGGAGCCAGTCAGGCCGCGCCCCCCCCAAGCCCCGCCCCTCCAGGCAGGCCCACTGCACTGTGCTTCCGGCCCCGCCCCCTCCATGCCCCGTCACTCCCGCCGGGCCCACGGAGCCCTACGGCCCCGCCCCCTCCACGCCCGCCCCTCCCAGCAAGCCCGCGGAGCTGCCCTGTCATGCCCTCCCCGGCCTCACCTGCGGGTCGCCCCGACTAGTGAGGCCTGTCCCCGGAGGGCTCACAGAACTGAAGCGTAAGACTCCGCCCCCCGGCAAGGCCCCGCCCATGCAGGCCGGCGTAGCCGCCGCGTCTGGCCCCACCCTCGTCCCGCCCTCCCGACGACGCCGCGCGGAGGCAGGACCGCGGACCCTCAACTTCAGGCCCCGCCTCGCTCCGCACCCGCCCCGCCCGCCTAGTGAGGCCCGGCCGCGCCTGCGCGCCAGAGAGATGCGCAGAGCCGGGATCCGCGTCCGGGTAGCGACCTGCCAACCTCGCCGCCCAATCTGTGGGCGCTGCCCAGACGCCTGACCCAGGCTGGTGGGACGGTCGCCAGGTCTGAGTGTCCCTCCCTCTTTATTTTATTGCATCCCACCCTCACAACCAGTGTAGCCCCATTCTAATGAAATTCTTTTATGAGAAATGTTGGGTGGTGTGTGAAAAAGAACTCAGGTGCTAATAGTTCGAATCCACCAGGGGCTCTTTGGAAACCCTATGGGGCAGCTCTACTCTGCCACACGGGGTCACGATGCGTGAGCATCGACTCGACCGAACAACGCCAACATGCCTTTAAAGAGTATTGTAAAGAGCATACCAAACTGTACCTGTCAGTCGGCTTCAATACCGGCTGAAACCCTGTGATCCTCTCTCAGCTCAAATTCACTTCTCCCCACCCCGACACTGCCCTAAATTTGGCTCACTCCCGCCCAGTGTTTATTTCTTTTCTGCTTACGTACATAGCCTTAACAATGTATGTACCCTTGAGCAATATATGGTGTCGTTTTGCCTTTATTAAACTGAATACAAACTGCACCAAAAGGTGCTTTTGCATCTTACTTTTTCTTGCCGGCAGTGTTAGACAGATGCGTTTAATTCTTTCTCTGCGGTTTGGTACTCCATTGCAGGAATAAAGCACAGTTTCTGCGTTCAGTAATGGATGGACATCTAAGCTGTTAGCGGTGCTTTGCCAGTTTGCACCCTGCAATTTCCATTCCACCCCGTGTTTGCTATGACCACTTTGCCTGATTCTCCAGCGCCTGCACCTTAGAGCTGCTTTGCTGAGTTACTGTTAGTTGCTGTACAATTGATTCCAACTCATGGTGACCCCAGGTGTGCAGAGTAGAACTGCTCCATAGAGTTTTCGGAAGCAGATCGCCAATCCTGTGTTGCGAGGTGCCTCTGGGTGGATTTGAACTGCCAACCTTTTGGCCAGTGGTAAGCACTTAAGTGTTCGCACCATTCAGGGACCAGGGACCAAAACCACTTGCTGTTCGACCGTACGCGTGGCAGAGTAAAGCTGTGCTCCAGAGTTTTTAATGGCTGATTTTTTCAGAAGTAGATCACCAGGACTTTCTTCCAATGCATCTCTGGGTGGACTTGAAACTCCAACTTTTTGATTAACTGTGTGTTCTGCCCTGGGGCTTCTATTGAGTAGTCCAACCAAAACCAAACCCACTGCTGTGGAGTCGATTCTGACTCAGCGACCCTGTAGGACAGAATAGGACTGCCTCATAGACTTTCCAAGGCTGTACTCTTTATAGAAGCCGACTACCGCATCATTCTCCCGTGGAGCGGCTGGTGAGTTCGAACCGCCAACCTTTTGGCTAGCAGCAAGCGCTTAACCCCTGCACCACCAGGGCTTCTCTGTGGGGTTGTAGTATACACATGTTTTCAGCTTTGCTATGGATTACCAACTTTCTTCTCCCAAGCCCTCGTACCAATTCACTACCAGCAGTTTTTCAGTTATTCTTTTCACATTTAGTTCTTTATCCCATCTAGATACGGTTTTATTTTTGCATAGAGGTGGGTGGGAATCCAGTTTTTATTATTTTTTTAAGCAAATAAGCAACTGTCTCATCATCTTCTTCTCCTGGTCCACCCCCTTCCTCTGATGTTCGATGCTACCTTTGTCAGACACGTTGTATGTACGCAGGTTTCCCTCGATAAACAACTGTTTTCTGTTTATAAAGTAATATTTATTCATAGTAGGCCATTTGGAAACTCCAGCAAAGCACGAGGATGTTACATGTTATTCCAGATTGAATGGTGTCCCCCCAAAACATGCGTTGTAAATCCTAGCCTCTCTGCCTGTGGTTATAATCCCGTTGGGGAATGGGTTGTCTTTGTTATGTTAATGAGGCAGGATTCGTGTAGGGTGTCTCTTGAGACAATCTCTTTTGAGATATAAAAGAGATTAAAACAAGCCAGCAGAGCAGAGATGGGGGAAGAGATATGCCACGCCAGGAGCAGAAGCTCAAAGAGACAAGGACCTTCCTCCAGAGCTGACAGAGAGAGAAAGCCTTCCCCTAGAGCCGGTGCCCTGAATTCAGACTTCTAGCCTCCTAAACTGTGAGAGAATAAATTTCTGTTTGTTAAAACCATCCACTTGCAGTATTTCTGTTATAGCAGCGCTAGATAACTAAGACACGTCTTCACTCATTTAATCCTCACATCAACCCTTTGCGGTCATTTTCATCCCCCACAAATCCTCATGGTTTTGCTTCCTCCTTACTTCAAGTCTCTGCTCACCTATCTTTTACCACAAATGGCTGGTTCCAGGTGTGCGGCAGGGGAGGGGAGGATCCTTGAACATCTGTTTGTAGCAGAAAACAAGAAGTGCTCAAAGAATGAAGGGGACATGCCAATGAGAAAAGGAGCCCTTTTGAAGAGCATGACTTGAGAATCCCAAAATAATGACGTTAAAAAAAAAAAAAGATGACATTACATGATCATAATAACTCAGTAAGTAAAAAAAAAAAAAAAATCTATTAGTCCATACTCGGACTATAAAAGATGAAATAAAGGGAGGGACTTCTTTACAGAAGAATGCCAACTAATTAATGTCGAAGGAATGATAAAGTTAGAAAATCACCACTTTACACCAAGCAGTAAGTGATTCAGACAAGCATCATTAAATGCTGGACCACTGGGGGTAAGGTTGTTGGGGAACATCACGTTTATACTGTCTCAAAGTAACACTCCACCGATTACTTATTAATCACAGAAAGAAAATGGAGAAATCTGGCAGAAACTGCATGAACCACGCGATCAAACTGATCATCAACTATGGGACAAAGTGGCATGGTGCACTCAGAAGATGACGTCATCTCTGTAGTATATTCCACCACCCATCTGTCAGCCTGTGGTCCTGTGGTGGCTTGCATGTAGCTGGGATGCTGGAAGCTATGCCACCGGTGTTTCACATATCAGCAGGGCCGCCCATGGTGGGCAGGTTTCAGTGGAGCTTCAGACTAAGATTAGGAAGAAAGTCCTGGTGATCTACTTCCAAACATTAGCCACAATGGTGCTGCGGTGACGCCAGACCTCGTATAACTTCACAAGGGGGAGGAGAGGGAATCGAGGTCAACATCAGCCCAAAGCTGATTCCTATGAGGTGGAGGTCAAACATACCTCTGCTTTCCAGCCTTTTTACCAATTCTGACACCAACAGTCCCTCCTACGGCATTCTCTACTTCTCTGCTGGGTTCAATAACGTGTTGCAATGGCCACACAGAACTCACACACCATACTCATGGTTATGGGGTTTATTGGGAAAGTATCAGGTTACAATTCAGGATCAAGAACGACTCAGGATACGGTTCTTTGATCAGGACAGTCTGTTCTTAGCCGTGCCTGCAGGCAGGCCTCTCTCTGGCCCTTGGCCTCTCAACTCATCGGCTCCTCGGCCTCTGGCCTGGCCTCTGACCTACTCGGCAAGTGTTACAAAGCTCTTTAGCTCTGCCAATAAGTGCCCAGGGGCACCCCACTCCACCAGGAAGCCTCTTGCCCGAAGGTGCTCAGCTCTCTCGCTCCATGGGTCAGCACACCCACTGTAGCTGCCTTGCTGCATGGGCCAGGAAGCACACTGCATCATCTCACATGGGTCTTCTGGTTCTGCTGCTGTCTTTTATCTGCCACTGCTTCTTGCCATCTTGCTCCATCTCCGATGTTACAGGTGTCTCTATGTCTCCCGGGTCTAGGAGGTTCTCAGCACAGGGACCCCATTCCAAAAGATGCGCTCTGGTCTCAACTTTTCTTCTTGGTGGCAGTGAGGTCCCTTCTCCTAATCTTTGGGATGGCTCATTTTAAGCCTAGCAGGATGGCAAAACTGACCAATCGTCTCATTAGGATTCCATACGCCTTATTTGCATGTTCCCAGCCCCGCAAGGGTTCCATGCACCTTATTTGCATTATTAGCAGGCTGTCCAATCCCCTTGGTGGGCCACAAGCACCTTATTTGCATAATCCCGCCTAATCATTGTACGGGAGTTACAAGACCATGCATAGCTAAAAGGGCCATACTAAGTAACTAACGTTGAAGCAACTTGCTCTTGAACGTCACGTAGCTAAAGCAAATGGAAGAAATGATGAAGTAAAAGACTGAACA